CAAGGCACTCTAATGTGAAGCATATATGAGAAGGAGGATGGTGCTTCTTAAATAAAAAAACATCATGAAAAATAGTAAAAGCAAACAAGATTTGCAAAAATACTCATTTTCACATTCATCAATATCAGATCAAATTTCATACACAAATTAAAACAATACTAATAGCTTAAGTGGAACTTACACAACGAATGAGTGACAAAATATCTCAAGCTTGTCATTACTTTAAACACAAAATATGATAGTATATTACTTTTACAATATACCCAGCCGTAGAATATTTTTTCAACTTCATTACTTTACTAGCATAATTTTTAATACATTGGCACCAAATCAAATAGTAAGATATATAAATACAAACAAAATCACTGTGATAGTTAAAGCATGTGATGTTATCAATATTTTAATTAGAAATTTTAATTCCTCAAAAGTTCTCTTGATTAAATCCTCAAAATATTTTCTGTTGAAGTATTCACTATTAAAAGGCTAATCATCTCGTCCATCATCTGAATTAGTCTCAATTAAGTTTTGTTTGATTTCTGGGATATCTATAAAATTCTCCCTCAATTTTGACCTTATGAGTTATAAACACCAAACATTCCAAATTGCAATCATAATATACTTTGAGAAATTTGATGTCATTGGAAGTTGATGATTGACTTGAACTTATATTTCACAATGTGACACCGTCAAATAATAATAAAATTTTGCATAAGTTTCAAATAAAAAGGCTAAATTGCCTGCAAGATGTTAAAAACTTAATTTTGCAGGCATTTACATGCATATCACACAATTCTTATATTTTTACATATCTTACAACTCAACTTTCATATTTACACACATAACACTCAAATGTTTATACCATGTAAGAAAAATACTATCAACACTTTTGCAAAGTAAAATGCATATTTTCTTGCATAGTTTAACGTGCTAAGGTATTGGGTATCTAAACATGAAAGTTTAGTTGTGAGAAATGCAAATATGAAAAATATTGGAACAACAGGTTCTCAAAAGAAATAAACATCAAATTTCAGAAATGTGAGAGTAAGAGCTCGTTTGGGCGGGCGGCGGCACTGCGGCGCGGTGCCTCCCCACATTTTTTTTTTTGTTTTCACATTTGTTTCGGCGGGCCTGCGGCCGCTTCCCGCGGTATCGAGCGAAAGCCGAGCAGCCAGGTAATAGGCGCGGCCCAGCTTTACGAACACATTTTTTACCCCCTTGCCCCTTTGCCCTATCACGTGAGATTGGAGTGAAGCCGCGAGCTTTGTCCCTTCTCCTCCTCTTCTCTGGCCAGTGACTATTCCTATGCGTCTTCCTTTCTCTACTTCTCATCCTTCTCTTCCTGTTCTCGTGATCTACTCACAGCAAGGGTAAGAAACCTATTTCTCATCTTCATTCATGTTCTCAGAAGGGTTTTCTTAGATTCTGAATTTAGTTTTATCGCAAAGGTTAGATCTATTGTTGGGTTAATTTTGGAGTGTCTTATGGGGTTATGCTGGTTGTTCGATCATGAAAAAGATCACCATGTGACCCTATTTTAGCTCTCCTATTAGATTTGGTGGGTAGATGTTATTCTCTTTGGGGTTATGCTTCCAGTTAGATTTGAAAAACTAGTTTGTGCATATTTTTTAACATTCCTCTAGCTGCAGTGCAATTTTCTTTTATTTGTGGTTGTTCTGTGAAGCTGGCCTTTAGGTATTTTGTTCATGCTCGTACATGGATCTAGAATTTGCTTTTATGTCTATGGTACATATGGATCTGAAATTTGCTTTTATGCTTGTGGTTTCTCTGTTAAATTGGCCTTCAGGTATGTTGTTAATGCTGGCACTATTGTTAGAATATTGGAGGAATTTCTCTTAATGCTATTGTTAGTGCAGGTACTATTGTTAAAGGTGGTAGTAATCCGAAAAAAATGCTTTTAATGTGTATATTAGAAGGGTGAAATTTCAATGTCGTGTTTCATCTTTGTGATTAATGTGATGGTGGAGGAATTAGCAAAATGGATGTATTTTCGTTTATCACTACTTGTTTCATTATCTGTTATTGTTAGGTGGTTTATTTCGTTGGCTAAAATTGATGGCAAGCGTAATGGAGGTATTGGCAAATTGGATTGAATTGTTTTCAATATTAGTTAATATAGTTGTTACATAAAAGTACATATGCAAGTGGGGAATATTTCTTATTAGCTCTCCATATTTTTAGAGGTGTTACCATGTGAACATATTAACATATTCATCTCTTAAGCTATTTACATCAAAAAATATCCTAGAGATTCCATATTCTGGGAGAGAAGCTGATGGTATGTTCAAATCAACGTGTTGATCCCCTTTTACCCTATTTGTGGAGCTACATGGAGAACATTACTTTACTTGTGTAAAAGGGAAGAAAAACATGTGCTAAAATTTGATGGTATGGTATGTAGTCAAATTATATGGTATGCATGAAAGTTCCCCAACATTTGCTTTTAAGCTCTTTCATTATTTTATTATGTGAAGGAGTCAAATGTTGGTTGTAAGCTATGTATGTTAACTTTTATTGCTAATAAAGAGTTCTGATTCTTCTCCCGCGCATGTAGGTTAGTTCGACCGAAACACGTTAATTGTTGTGTCCTTCTTTTGAGTACTTGTTTATTTATTTTACTGTTATTAAATGTTATTTATTATTCATGTTGTTCTCATTAAAGTGACAAGTTACTAAATAGTGTTATTAGTCTTTTCCAATGTTCATCTTTATCGTAGTAGTAAGATGACTAATAAAAGCAAAGAGCTTGGTATACCTGTACTGTGGAAAAAAGACACAAAAATTATATTTTGCGACCTTTGCCTAAAAGAAATTGAAATGGGCAATAGACCTACGACCTTCTTTAAAAAGGAGGGGTGATAAAATATTATAAAAAATTTCAAGGAACGTACTGGCAGAGAGTACGACACGCTGCAGCTAAAAAACAAATTGGATCAATTGAAAAAAAAATTGAAAAAAAAATTGAAAATTTTGGAAAGATTTAAAAAGATGATCTACGGGCTTGAGTTTGGATCCGGTCAAATGAACAATTGACGTTCCAGAGGAGTGGTGGATAGAAAGACTTGCGGTAAGGAATTTTTCATTCCCTATAATTTATGTCATATAATTTATTTCAGTAAAATGGGTTAAATGTTTTTCTTCAGGTGGTGCCCGGAGCGAAGAAATTCAAAGTTATTGGTTTAGAACCAGAGTTTGAGGAGAAATTGGACCAAATGTTTAGTGAGGTATTCACAACAGGAAAATATGCTTGCACTCTAAGCGAGACGGGATTTGGTTGCACCCTTGAAAATGTGGTTGTTAGCTTATCTGCTAATTCACCTGACTTCCACAACCAGGATATTCCCAAAATCTAGTCCACGAATCGTTCGAAGCGTGCCTGTGTGATGAATAAAAAAAGGGTGGAGCATCTTCTATCAGGAATCAGATATCATATTTGATGGACTCTTCCAATGACGCCCCTCATAAAGTTCGGAAACTTTTTATTAACAAAGTTGTGAAAATTTTAAAAGATGATATTGAGATTACAGAGGATGTAGAGTTGCTACAGGATTGTCTCTACTTTGTTGTGGAGTTGCTTCAGGATTCCGTACAAAAAAGATTTCTTCACTGTAATTGCAAAAGAACAACGGGTGGCGTATCAACGTCATTTCTATGCCCATAGGGAGAACTGATGACACATATGCCTAGTTTGCTATTTAGAGACAATTTGTTATCATTGCTTGTTGTTTTATAACTCCTTATTTGCTCCGAGTCAGTCTTATTTCAACTGTTGTTGTGTGAGACATTTTAATTTCCCTAGAGACATTTTATTTAGTTGCTTTTAAGCATTTTATTGCATTATATTTATAGTCATATTCTGCTTTTTTACTGCTACTTCATACATAGATACAATGTTGTAATTAAAGTTTAGCCTTAAAAGTCTCATGTTTATGCTTTCAGGGCTCAATGTTAAGTAAGTGGTGTATCTGAATATTTTGTTTTGTTTAGAAATAAATTTTAGCATATGAAGTTTTATGAATCTGACTCTTACAGACTTCTTTTAAACAGTTTTACTAAATAGGGATAACATAGTTATTTTTTCTCAAACAGCTGCCCCACAGCTGTTTACACATAGATGCACCAAACTGACAGCCAACTTTCATGCAGCTGCTTCCCGCGGTAGCTTACTGGGGCAGCGCAGCTGCAACTGAAATGTTGAGCAGCTGCAACTGCCTCAAACAGACCCTAACTCACATAAGAATACTTGAATCATATTTGTAGATTATTTTGATAAATCAAAAGCGAAAATCGCTCTCCACATGTTCAACAGAAACATAATATCCTAACAACTTTGAGTTTGCTAACAAAAATCAAATTCGATACTTTATATAAAAACATGATAAATACTAATTTTTGCTCAACTAAGGACATCTAAAAATATTACAGCCCCAAGGAAAAAAAAGATTCAGTATCATCATTAAGCAGAAAAAAGTAAAAAAAAAAAATAAACTTACTAATTATTAGAAGAAATCCAAATGATTGGATGAGTTGAATAAGCATCCCATGTAAAAAAAATGAATTGGTGTTATTAAAAAACCAAAAAACTATTGATTCTTCGCCGGATGGGGAAGGAAGAGAGGTACTGCGCGTTGACAGAGTAAGATAGCTCCTGAAGCTATTTCCCACTCTTGACGATGGATTTAAAGTCTGATGATGAGCAAAACTTGGAGAAAGGTTGTGATGGGTTTAGAGTCTGACGGATGCCTAAACAGAAGTAAAAAATATTAGGTCAAGACTCCTAATACATTTATGATAATTAAGAATTCTGATGTGATACATGTAATTTTTAACTTTCATGTGCGAAATATGTAAAAAATCAAAATTGTTGAGTGCTATTTACGTGAAAACCCCTATGATATACATAAATATATTATTTGCTTTCCTATACAATAAATCGATAAGAAACTATTTTATTTCAGTCATGGCAAGTTCGAAGTGACAGGTTGCGGCAGCGACACGTGTGAACTGATGGGTTTCACCGCCGCACGTACGAAACTATCATCTCCTTCGCTGTTATCCTCGCTCTTAAAGACGCGCTATCCTCAAAATCCCTAAACCACCTCTACAATGGCAGCGGCTACCACCGGCCCTTCTGGCGACATTACCGCACCTCTATCGGACGACAAGAAAGAATTCGCCCCAACGCAGCATCTCGAGGGCGGGGAAGATGGTTCGGAAGCAGAAGAGGGAGCGCCCTCGGAAGAAGCACTCGGTGCCGCCGGGGCTCTCGTGTCCTCTGACTCGGGTGAAGCGAAGAAATGGACGGGATGGCCAGGACTGAGCGTTTTCCGGCTCATTGTGCCATTGCTGAAGGTTGGAAGCATCATTGGACGGAAAGGGGAGTTCATCAAGAAGCTCTGTGAGGAGACGCGCGCTCGTGTTCGGATACTCGAAGGGGCGATCGGTACAAACGAACGCATTGTTAGTCATCTTCTATGTCATCTATGCCCCTTTTTTCAAGTTCTAGGGTTTTTACTTTGGTGGTTTATGCTCATTCGTTATCAACATTTGCGTTTCTATTAGTTTTTTTTTCTACATTTGCATACATAGCATACAGTTCTTATTTATTTACCTTTGTCACCTTAACTTTGATATGTACACATAGAAAATTTTAATATCACATTAAGAATAGCACTATTTCCACTTTTTTAAAGTGAATTGCACATTTTTCTGTATAGGTTTAAAGTACCAAAGTGTTATGTGTGTAAATATGAATGTTTAGGTATAAAATATGTGAATACATACAATTATGTGCTAGGTTTGTAAATTTCCCCCTTTTTCTAGCAAGTTGGTATTTTCCTGATTATGGCTCAAAAATTCAACTTGGGTTGAACTAGGGGTTGAATCCGATAACATTATAAATATTAAAATTATTTTAATATGATTTAAAATATGTAATAATGTAAGACATGACAGAAATAAATAGAATTTAAACTCAAGTAACATTTTTAATGATTATAAATTTAAAATTTGTTATAAAGCTTATCAAGATATAATTTTGTATGTATGATAAATAGATAAATCACACACACACACACACACACACACACACACACACATAATTTATTGTATGAATGACTTTTTAATTTAAGAAATTTAAATGCTAATATTTTAATATAATGTTTTTTACGTTATGCAACCCATTCAGTTTTTCCAAATCCCAATTCATTTTCCAATACCCACAACTTTTTAGTCCACACCATGAAGAAAATTTAACATTTCACTATTTATATAGAAAAAAATAGACCTTGGTTCTTTTAATATCTCTTCTTTCATTGGAATTAATGTTTACATCTAAACACCCGTTACACGAGCGTGGCCCAATGATTTACCAATAAGACCTACATATTGATTTGGCTCAACATTGCCTAACAAAGAAATTCAGTGAGTGAGATCCAATTTGCTCAACTCATCTCACTAACTACTTAGACAAATAAAATAAAGTAATGCACCCAAGTATCAACTCAAACATGGCTAATTGCTAAGTTAACCATTTCCCAACACTCAATGCGTCCTTGGGCTCCAACATTCCATACAAGTTATAGGAAACAATATGGTCCTGTTATAAAGGATTGCATTTTCTCCTGTACTCTTACCCTATGTCCGACAACATGGCCATGTAAACCTTTATGCACTTCTATATATAGTTTTAGGATATTTTTGTCAGATTTTATACTAAAGTCAAAGGAATTTTGGGAGCAGGTGGTAAAAACGCTTAATGCTACTTTTTTATATTCTCCTTTGGATAATCTTGAATCCTTAATTCTTTTTATCCACATCTCTCTCTCTCTCTTTCTCTCGTTGAGTGATATAGTCTAGGTTTGTGCCTATGTACAGTTTGTGAGACAACTCAATGTATGAGATTGGTGTTTTATTTTGAGCTTGGAAGGATTAGATGACTTGTCTGGACATGTTCTTATTGAAGGCGTAACATATTTGGATTTGTCCTCCATATGCTTTCTTGTAGGTTCTATGGTTCCATTTTAGGTGTTAGTGTTAGATTTTATCTTAGACATGGCTTAAACCATTGTTTCTTCCAATTTGTAAGTTTTGTTTGCCTTTTATTATGACAGTTATTTATTTCAAATTTGTTAAACATGGATTTTGTATCCAAACTTTCCCTATGTAAGTGGACGTAGAGTCTCTTATGTTGAAAATTTACCAGTTGGAGTTTTATTTTTATTATTTTTTTAAGTTTTATGAGACAATATTTTAGCAAATAAATTTTAAAAATCTATTTTGGATGATATTCTTATTTCCACCACGTTTGAATGTTTCTTTGAGTGTAATAGTTTGGATTTTGTAAAATGAAATGTTAGATTACCTGATGTCGGTTAGCTGGCGATGATTAGATTATCTTAAGAAGGCTTATTAGGTCTACAGATTAGTGTTGACCCTCCTACATGTTTACTGTTTCTAGCTAATTAAGCATGATGAAAGTATTCTGATGAGGCTTTTAGGGATAAAAATCTTTAGAGATTGTTCATTCTATCTTTGTAAGTTGTATATTTTTTATAAAGCATGTTGAAAGTCTTTTGTAAGACATTAAGAGCTCAATAATCTTGGAGATTATTAATTTGATATCTATTGGTCTATGAATGTGTGATCATACTCTTTTTTTTTTGTTATGTCAATGATGACATACATAAATCTCTCAATATAGTTTTGGGGCATGCACTTTTTTACTTTTGCTTATATAATTAATTGTGTTCTGTGAAACCAATTCATTCCACATGGGTTATGGAGTTGGCAGCAATCTAATTTAGACAGTCTAAGAATATAAATTTTGAAATGTCTTCATATCCAAAAAAGCATCTATAGTAAACTGAATATACATAATAGACTTCTATAAATAACAAATGACAAACAAACACTCGTATTCAAAAATAACAACTACAATAATTTTATGGATCCTGTCTTTAGACTGTGAGTTGAACAATATTCTACAAGCCTGGATCTGGACTATAGTACTAAGGAAATTTGGAATCTCGCATCTTCCGGAAGGTGATGGAAATCATCCATTTTGAAACTGTTGTTTTGCAATGCTTGGCTAGATTGACTCAATTTCCATTAATAACCAAAATTAATCTCAGAGGCAAAGGAATAGAGGATGCACCAAAAAATTTTCCAAAGCCAACTATCTTAATCTTCTTGCCAAAGACAATGTCACACTGTTTCAAGAAAAAAATTTTGTGAAGAAAGGTCATTTGAAATCACAATGGTCAATATACTATGGGATGCAATCGCCTTATTCGTAGATGTTTACTATGCAACTGTTAGGTGTACATAGGGTGTAAGATGTGTCATGACACAAATATTTTAATCATATATTTAAATAGCACTCAGAGGTTATCTGTTACTTCACTTCAGATGATTTTAGGCGGATGACCATTAATTTCTCACTCATAGTTATAGCAACATCTTATCATTATGATTCACATCCAACATTTTGTATAATAACTACCTTTTTTGTGCTTGAGGATATATTGGATATCGATATTATTTATTATTAATAGAGGATTTGACTCATTTTGCATATAGATGTGACATTCCTGTTTGTGATGATTATTTTATTATGTCACAAGCTCAATGTCTATGCCCTAATTACTATTGTCAAAGTGCAAAGTGCAATGCGACACACATGGACTTATTTTTTGCTTCTAAGCTACAAAGCGTAAATTATGATTCACATCCAACATTTTGTATAACTACCTTCTTTTGTGCTCGAGGCTATATTGGATATTGATATTATTTATTATTAATAGAGGATTTGACTCATTTTGCATATTGATGTGACATTCTTGTTTGGAATGATTATTTGATTATGTCACAAGCTCAACGTCTATGCCCTGATTACTATTGTCAAAGCGCAAAGTGCAATGCGACAAACATGGGCTTGTTTTTTTGCTTTTAAGCTACAAAGCGTAAAGAGAAGTAGCATTTTTATTAACTAAAGCTTTTATAAGCTATCTAAAAATGATAAATATAATGATTCATTCATTAACATTTATAGAAATATTACTTCAATGACTTAAAATTTGATGCATTGTAAGATAGCTGAAATTTGTCTCTAAAATAAGGATTTTTTCTCTAAAAATAAAAAGTTCATCAAAAGATTCAAAGCATAGATACACTAACATAAATTGGGCTTAATGAATAGTTGATAAGCTGAAATAACTCGATTGAAGGGTACTTGCAGGTTCGATGGGCAAATAAACTAGCTACGACATGCAGTTTCAAACACATTCGAGCCCTCCCATTGTGTTCCTTCAAGTGTCGAATTGAATGTCTGTTATGTTGTCGTCTTCTTCACGTGTTTGATTCATCTCCCTCACGTTTGTGTTTCTTTTGCAACCGAAATACAAGTCAAGGACCTTGCAGTTGAAGCGCTTCTCTCGAACTCGGTTTTCGCCTTCTTCTTCACTGCCGAAATACAGGGTCAAAGCCCTTGCGGTCGAAGCACTCCTCTCAATCTCGAACCCTAGCTAGAAGTCGAACAAGGGCTGGCCGAATTCGACATGAATGTGCTCCTTTATTTCGTGAATCGACTGCTCTACCACTTCTCTTAGTGTTTCACGAGCGCTTATTTGATCGCATGATTGAGGGAAGCGAATTCGATGTGAATTTGTCCCCCTATTTTGGGATTCAACTACTTCGCCGCTTCTCTTAGTGTTTCGTTGGTGAAACGCACACTTCATACACATTGATCGCATGACAACAATTTGAAGCGGGCCACGGGCCCTTCGCGTTCTTTCACGCAACACAGGAAGTGTGCTTTGAATTGGGCTTCTAAAAACACTGGCCCTAAATTCATCTATGAATATGAAAAATGCAACCTTGCATACCACGACAAGCTGAACGACAAATTTGTGATTTGGGATTGTTCATCTTTGTTACTTTTAATTTTAAATTTAAGTTAGTTTGAAATGATCTAATTTAAAATTTTATGTTTGTTTGAAATATGCTTATGATGATGCTTATCAGAAGTGAATTTGCTGTTATTATTTATAATTTCTTGGTTTGATTGTTTTTGTTGGTCGGATTATTTCACTTGTTTGGGTGTGGAGAGAATTCTGTCCTTATAAATTGGTTTCTTTTTGTGTCTTTTGGCAGACTCTTGAGTTTTTTTTTTTCAGTTTTCGTATTGTATAAATGCCTTGGTTTGTCTGTTGAAGCGATTTGCTGTATCTATTTTAAGTTTGCATCATGTAGCAACTTGTGATCTCTATTGAGAGTTTGGATATCCAGAGGAATATGAGTTAACCTACTGTTTTGGAATTATGAACTGTGCAAGTGCCATGTTCCACTTGAACTAAATAAATATTTTCAATTGTGCTGAACTTGTGAGGCGTCCAACTTTAGGGTTTATTTTGATGCTTATAAATAGATTAATATGAGGCATTGTTAAGTGAACTTTAGCTTTTTTAAATGTTATGTGCTTGTTTTAATGTTGATTTTCCATAGTGCAGTGCAAGAGAGTACAGCAATTTTTGAATGACGTCATCTCTAAATACTATGTGCATTGATTTTGTGTTTGGCGATCTCTTATATTAATTTTCTTTGCTTTTATGTAATTCAGAGTATGATTGATTTTAGTTAAGTTAGATCAATAGATTACCAACGATGCTGTTATTTATGGTCGTAATGTTGCATGGTCGGTTTTTTTAGCTTTATTTTTCTACAATTTTTTTTGTTTTTGTTTTGAGCTGCATTAATTTATCATTTGGCTTATGTTGCTCTTTTTGGGTTGCATTGAAAGAACAATATTTATTTTAGTTGATGGTCATTTGATCTAGGAATTTCAAATATGGTTTCTGTGATTTCATTGCATTTTTACATGCTATTAGGAATTCTGGATCTATAGATGTCCTGAATGGCTTTTCATGCATTTTGTTTTTTTATTGGAAAACAGAAAGTCTTATTCCACGTAAATGTTTAACATATATCTTACATTATCCGTGCTTTGAAAAATGGTATGTAGTTTGAGTTGAGCAACTTCATGTAGGACAGTCTAAGCAGCCTTTCTCTTAATTTTCAGGTTCTAATATCGGCTAGAGAAGAAAAAGATACAGAAATATCACCTGCCATGGATGCAGCCCTACGTGTGTTTAAACGTGTCTATGAAATGTCAGAAAGTACTGGAGATGAGCAAGTTCCTGCTGCTACTTCTGTGCGGTTATTGGTGGCTTCTTATCAGGCTATTAATCTAATTGGAAAGCAGGGCACAGTGATCAAGTCGATTCAGGAGAGTACCAGTGCAACCATACGAGTCCTATCTGGTGGTATTCAAATATTCTCTCTTTTAATTCTTTAGATACTTGGCTACTTGATTCTTCATCCTAATTGTCTAAACAACTATAGCATACACATTCTTGTTGTTTTTCATTGGAATTAGGGAGATTTGGCTATATGCATAAATTTGCATTTAGCTAGTAGTACACCATTAAGACCTCATATTTTTTAATTATTTTTTTCAGATTAATGTTGAGTTGATTGTAATATGGTTCTTCTTTTTCCCTTTTTTTCTTGGTTGAAGAGGGCAATTTGTATTATTTGTTGACACTGCTGATTTAGCTATGATGAACTTGCGAGTTTTTTTTTTTATTTGTCCTTATCATTGGTAGTGAGTACAATGTTTTTTCAAACTACTATCTAGATTGCCAATTTCTTCCCCCAATTTGTATTTTTGGCCAACTCATGGACGCTTGTTTATAGTTTTGATCTTCTTGCTCTTTTTACCTAGACTATAAAGTGTTTGTACAATATTAGCTTTCTATTTATGCTGATCGTCACAACCCCAATGTAGCTTTGCTTAGTGATGTTATAGTTTATAGTTTATTTTTCTTTGTTTGTTGCTCAACCATAATGCTGACAATGTTTTTAGGGTCAGGATATATTACCGCGGATGTGTAATAAATTCTTCTATAGAACATTCAAGGAAATAAATGGAGCCATCCTTGCAAACATTACTTTAGCTTGGCTAATGGTCATTGTTTTTATGCAATAAAACCAAGGCGGATGTTTAGTAGGTCTATTTATGTGGGATTTAATTTTATTTCTCTCTTTTCTATGATATGTAAATTTCTTCGTCAAATATTGATTTGCTGTGTTTTAATATGATTTTTGAATCCTACCGGTAGCTGGATTTAGAGGATATAGGGTCTCTTCTACAAGACAAAAGCACCTTTACCATGGGAGTCCCATTCGTTTTTGTTATTGTTGTGAGGGGTTCATCTATTGCAGTTGATCATCTCAAAAGGTGCTCCTTCTTTTGCTGCCGAGATTATTAGATCTTCTGTTTAGTTTTGTGCTGATTTGATTTGCAATTTTCTTTTGTTTGTTTAGGATTGATTGTACATTGCGGTATCAATCTATTGTTTAAATTTTATAACTAGGAAGAGACGGTCAAATAGTTTGTCAGGTTTTAGTTAGATGTAACAAATATGATATCAAATAGTTTTCTGGCTTTAACACTCATGATTTATTATATTGGGTTTATAGGATTTACCAAATCTTTTTCTTAAATCCTAGTTTTTATTAAACAGGCTCAAAGTGAGAAATACCAACATTATCAATTTCTACACTCTTAAACATGACTACCAAATGGCCCGAAATTGGACAGCCAAGGGATGACATTGTTAAATCATACTTTTTGCTACACAGTGTCAAAGTTTTCAAGTAGAAGTATCAAATTCATCAATTTATATACTTTTTAAACATGAATGCACATGGCTCAAAGGATGCAGAATTTGGGAGCTAGTTTTTAGGTGAGCGTTCAGGCCATTGGATGACTAATAACAACAAACATGAAAATTTATATTTTTTCTCATAAGTGCTGGTTCCTGAACCTTTTGCGCGAGGTAAAAGTTCATATTATAAAAAAAAGAAGAAAATAAAAAATAAAAAATTGTGCATTTGGATTACAAACTAACTGTAATTAAGATTCATTAGTATTAAGTTTAAATTAATTCTTCTGATTATGTTTTTATGCCTCATGTATATTATAGATGATTGAGTTATTAACATGAATGGTTCAAAAAGTAAGACATCAACGCAAAAAATTGCTAGAAAATGTTGATATAGATTTTTTAATGCTATCATTCCAATTCCTCCTAATGTTACAAAGGTCTTGCAGTTGACAAGGGTGTTATTGTCAAAATTTTGTAAGCATATATAATCCTTTAAACTCTAATAATATTTGGAGAAGTGTAGTTAGAAGAAATTCTTCCAGTTCATTTCTACCAATCGATTTATTTATTTATTTGAATATTGATGTCTAGTCATCTGATTTTATTTAACAAGAATCATATCTTTAGAAGAAATTGTAAAATTTAAAGGCAATATGAGGATAAACTGAAGTTAGAATGATTGTGGTTTCAAGATTTGATATTTTCATAGCAAAAAAAAAAGAAGCCAAAATTTTTTGTATAGTGCATTAACAACTTAATTGTGTGTGTTTATAATATTTCTCACTAGATGAACTCCCATACTGCGCAACTGCGGACGAGAGAATCATAGAAATCAGTGGTGAGTATCAGAAGGTATTAAAAGCACTTGAGGCTGTGGTGGGGCATCTTCGGAAGTTTTTAGTTGACCGCAGTGTACTTCCTTTGTTTGAAAAAACTGTAAGCATGTCTATGCCCCTTTTATTTTGATTTTGCATACTTCATGAATATGGTAAATGACATTTGTTTGGGTATTTTTTTACTAACTTGCCCATATTTTTTAGATGAAAATGCCAGCTGCACAAGATCTTGAGCCAAATGCTTGGGGTGAGAAGTCAGTAGCATCTGCAAATTCTTCGCTTACTGGAATTGTCAATGGCTATGGATTTCCGGCGAACCAAGATTCGCTATACCGTGATCGTGAATCTCATTTGGATTCTCAGCTTCAGTACAGTTCTCTTTCACTCTACGGGCGAGATCCGGCTTTATCTGGGTTGGGGCGAGACCCGGCTTTATCTGGGTTGGGGCGAGACCATAGTGCTGCTGCTTTAGTCACTCAGGTTTTTGTTTTATATTATGATCCTTTTGTTATTTTCTTTGGTTTTTGTTATTAGATGGTGAAAAATGGTCGATATGTGATTCTCTATGCCGTGATTTGATAGTTGCACTTTTGAATGATATTAAATGTGTTGTTATTTTCTTTTCTTTATTTCATTTGGGGTCGGCTTTTTTATTTAATTTGGCTGCTTGATAGTGTGTTAGTTCCATCTGATTTTCTCAATTCTGGATTAGGGCACTTTTTGGTTGTGTGAGAAGTTGAGATTCACTGTATGTATATGCACGTAAGATTAAATTTTGTTTGTTAAGTTTGAGATAGAGTTTGTAGTTCATTTCCTTCGCAAATCTCAGGTAAATGTTGGTAGCTCTTAGGGGTTCTTTAGTTTGCTGCAAAATGGGATGTAAGGTTGCATTCCAGATCCAAGGGTTTTGAAAATTTAGTTGTTTGGTTTGAGGAAAAAGGAATTTATAGTAAGATTACAATGAATTTGAAATTTGGCTTTTAGTTCATTTTGAGTGTATTTCAAATTCGTCAGATTTGGCCAAAAATTCCAAATACACTGCAAATTGTAATCGTTGGTAACACCACCACAAGGGTTTTACATTGCATCATTTTTTCATGTACTCACCCAGACATAACAGTACAAATTCATATATTTGTAGTGTATTTATCCAAGCAATAATATTTACTTTTCAATACACACATTTATATTGCAGTGAGCTGTATTTCTTTGTCAGCAAACCAAACCTTTTATTGCATTTCAAAGTTATCCAACAATCTGCGCGTATATATTTGATCCACTACCTAAATTTTATCCATTTAGTGCTTAAAGTACTTTAGAAGTTTTTAATTATGCTATTGTAATCAATCACTTCATGCAAATTATTTTTAAAACCGTAAAGCAATGCCATGCCCTAATGCTGTTATTTTAAGAGAAACTTAATTTTCACCTACCCAGAATTTGATGAATGTTAAGTATAGGTTTCCCTTTTTCTTGTTTATTTTGGCACAAAGTTATTCAAATTCTGATTTTTTTTAAAAATCTCTGCTGAGATAGGAATTCAGATTCTGCACCGTTTAGAATATGGGTTCAGCTCATCAAGTTATGCAATGCATTATGTTCTCTCGTTCTTTCACTCTTGCTTGCGAGTGCGTGGGACATATTTTTGCTTTTGTAAATATTTTTACATTTGAAGGGAAATGATTCTTATTTAGATGGCATGAGCAAGCTGCTTTTGTTTCAACTTTTTTCTTTTCCTTGTTCTTCTGAAAATTTACAAACATAACACTCAATTTTCATGTTTTTCATCTATGACACCTAAACTTCAATTTTTGCCACCTTACCTATACATGGAAAGGTGCATTTCACCTTTTAAAAGCTAAAATGGTGGTATTTATTGTGGGTTATGCAAGTTTAGGGTGTTATAAATGTCTAAAGAAAAGTTCAGGCGTTAGGTATGTAAATATATAGGAATTGGTTGGTATCTATGTAAATGCCCCCATGTTTTTCATAGCTTATACTTCATTCTATTATTTCTTTTGGATTTCAGGTGACGCAAACAATGCAAATACCATTATCCTATGCGGAGGACATCATTGGTATTGGAGGGGGAAATATAGCATATATCCGTCGTACTAGTGGGGCTGTTCTTACTGTTCAGGAGACCAGAGGTGTGCCTGATGAAATTACTGTTGAGATTAAAGGAAACCCTTCGGAAGTCCAGAAGGCTCAACAAATTATTCAGGTATTATAATTTTTCCTTTCTTTACAAATTGCGGCATTTACATTTAGAGCAAACAATTCTCATGTGTTTTCATATCTCACGCCTCAACTTTCGTACTTGCAGGATTTGCTTGCCGGGCATAAAGATCCAGCACCAAGCAGCTATGGAAGCCTTGATACAGGTTTGGGGTCATCTTACTCTCATTTTGGTAGCTCTGGCTATTCTTCGTCTCTCTCGGCATCGTCGCTCGGTGGATTTGGATCTTCAGGATTGGGAGGTTATGGGAGTTACAGGTTTTGATTCCCCTCTTAGCTACCTAATGAATTTTTTATTTGACAATGATAGTTATTTACACAACATTATGCTGAAGGAATTGTTGATGTCAAATATTTTTAAATGAGTTCTATCTTTATTCTGTTTTCAGAACCCGCTAAACTTTTTTGAGATATTTGATTGATTTATAAATTCGGTAAAGATGATCTGGTGGATTTGTCTGGCATGAATTCAACTTGGCAATGTATGATTATTGCATATGAGTATATGATGTGAAATTTTAAGTAGCTGTGATATTAATAATAGAGAATTGGGGCATTTACATATCTAACACCTAAACTTCAATATTTACATTCATGGCACTTAAATCTATAACGTAAAATAAAATAAAAAATAAATAAATCTTTTTTACTAACTTTTTAACATTCTAATGTAAATTTAATGCATAGGTTTATAATACCGTAGTGTTATAAGTGTAAATATCAAATTTAAGTGTTGGATATGTAAAATGATGAGAATTATGTGGAATGTATGTAAATTTTCTTTAATATTATTAGATAAAGCGAAGTTTTTTCTTGTCATAAATTATTAATGTCTTGGATTAATTGTATACTTGAGAATTTGTAGAACTTAAATGATTTCATTTCATTACACTGTGTTGCAATAAATTATGATTTACTTATTTAAAGGCTTTACTTTAGAAAAAAAAAAAAGATTTTTTGTAAATTCCAAACATTTAAATGAGGCATTATGATAAAAGAAAAATACAGGCTTATTTTTGGCTTAAGCTTTATAATTATGATTTTGGATGTCTGAAATGTCTGAAACCATTTATAATATATTTTTATATTTGACCATTTTATTTCGTCAACAAAATTAAAGAATATATACAGGTATTGTTTATCTTCTATTTGCAAACATAAAAAAATGTAAAAATTCTTAATAAGGATTTATTATGTTTATTTAATAATAAAATCCTCCAGTTAACATTCGATAAGCTATTAGATGAAATTAGAGCGGAAAGCGGGCATAACTCTATATATTTAGAATAAAAAGACCATATATTAAAAACGACTTTTAATTTTTTCGAATAATGTTACCGTTAAAATGCGATGGTATAAATCGAACTTTCGTTCAATGTGAGAATATTAGTTGGGACGGGGAAGTGGAGTGATAATGCTATGTTGAGAAAAATTGAATCTTTCGATCAAGTTCAAATTGGGAGTAATTACAGTAAAAATATGCTAAAAATTAATATAATGATGAGTTTTCTTATTCAATTAAAGGCTTTAAATCGTTAAAAATTTGAATCATGCTTTTCCTTTTTACTTGGAATATTTCACAACGGCTCTGAAAATTCCAAAAAACAGAATGCAGGAAATGTTAAACAAGTACAACTTGGTCATCCCAAACAAACATCCTTTGCTAGTTGCTTTAACTGACCGGAGTTGAGAAAATTACATAAAGTATTAAAAACATCAAATTCCAAGTAGTAATTCAGCCTTTTGAGTTTATATGGTACCATAGAATTGTCCCAATAAAAAATAACAAAAAAAAAGTCCACATATTTCTTTGTACTTACAACTGCAGAACCTTGCCTTTAATATCACTCAAAAAAACTCTATAACAAAGCAGATTCAGAGGGCAACACTGTGTTGCAATAAAACCAAGCAAACAAAGTCACGTTGCCATAACAGCACTCACAAATTTCATCCCATTTTCATAAAATAGAGCATAAATCCAGAGCCACTTCACTACAGAGACTAAAAAATCGATACACCATACCTATAAACCAGGGATAGATTCTAGGTTGTATTTTGCTGATAGAGCTGCTTCATTCTCCTCGTTCTCCGTTAGTTTCGAGTTTTCAATTGAGCCGAGGGTCTGCAAATAATTGTAAGATGGATTCCGCCTGGACGGTGGGCTTGGATTAGTAATTCTGCTTGCTAGAAACCGACGGATGAGACCTCTGAGCAGTGGAGCCATTGTTTCTGGTTCATGCTCTAAGAAATACATGATTCCTCCCATACACATGCAAAATAGAGCCACCTGGAAGAATGATGATAAATTGTAGGAAGATTTGCATAAATACCACTCAATTCCTAGATATTCACATAACTAACACCTACGTTTCAATTTTTACATACATACCTATGCATGAAAAGGTATATTTCAGTTTTTAAAAGTCAAAGTTGTGGTAATTTTTATGTGGTATGAAAGATATCAGTGTTATAAATGTAAAAAGTAAAGTTTAGGTGTTAGATATGTAAATACATAGGAATATAATGACTCTTTAGGGGTGATAAATTGGTCCTTTCTATTATAGTAGCTAAAATGAACCAAAACATGCATAAACTCGAGCTGGGCGCTGGCGCCATATCAGCCAATCAGTACATTTAAAAAGACAAAAACACATTTTATTCAGCTCAACTTACACCCCGGTGTAATAGTCTTTATTTAAGTTTCAGATGATATACAGTTATCGACGTAGTGTAAGCCTTTATTGGTTTCAAATAATGGTTTGGCTTAGTGTGTCATAAGTTTTCAATCTAAAGGACTAACCAAGAAGATGAAGAACCAAGTTAAAAGCATATGCAGAAGACTTCAAAAATGTATGAAGATTAATTTATTGGTTTAGGGTTTTTAGTTATTGTTTGAATGAGTGTAGTTATAAAACTCAGCTCAAAAAGAAAATTAACAGATGCAAAAATGTTTTAAAACTATCTCAATTTATGTAATGTAAATGTAAATCAATCAAATTTATTGTTTACAAAATTGTTTTGGTAATAGATGCCATAAATGCTTCCTAAAGCCATTGCCATTGGTTTTCTAGTTCATGAACATATACAGCAACAACAACAACAAAAAGTCTTAATCCCACTACGTGGGGTGGGCTACATGAATCCTTTTTCTCCAATGCATCCTATTTAGTGTCATATTTTCATTTAGTTCTAATAAATTAAGAATATTTTTTATACAATAAAGCCCAACTCTTCCGAAGTCTACCTGTCTTTCTTAACATAAGTCGAATCTAAAACATCTACTTCCCTAATCGGATCATCAGATGGTCGACGTTTAATGTGACCAAACCATCTAAGACGACTTTCTCTAATTTTATCCGTCACAGGAGCTACACCAACCCTATCATGGATATATTCATTTCGCAGTTTGTCTCTAAATGTAAAACCACTCATCCACCTAATCTTCTCATCTCGGCAACACTTAACTTAGTATTATGCTTCTCTTTTAAAAGCCAACATTCAACACCATAGAGCATTGCAAGTTTTACCACCGTCTTATAAAATTTTCCTATCGGTCTAAGCGGTACTTTTCTATCACACAAAAGACCCGAAGCATTCCTCCACTTCAATCAACCAACCAAACCAACCAAATTGAATTCTACTATTAACATCCTCATCTATATCACCATCGCTTTGAACAATAGACCCAAGATACCAAAATCGATCACACCTTTTAATAATTTGATCACCCAAAGTTACACTTCTGTTACTAGAGCTACTACAACTAAAATTAGATTCCATGTATTCAGTTTTAGTTCTACTCAAATGAAGGCCTTTAGACTCCAATGCAGCCCTCCATAATTCAAGTTTTTCCTAGGCATTTTCTCGTCTTATCCACAAAAAGGATATCATCAGCAAAAAACATACACCAAGATATATCCTCCTGTAAATGTCCATTAATTAGATGTCCAGTAAGACCATCCATAACTAAAGCAAAAAAATATGGGCTTAAAGTCGATCCCTGATGTAATTGAACAGAAATAAGAAAATATTTGGTCAATCCTCCATCAGTTTGAACTTAAGTAACAACTCTAATATACATATCTTTAACGACTTGAGTATAATTCATATCAACACCTTTCTTCTCAAGAACTCTCCAAAGGATATCTCTTGGAACCTTATCGTAAGCTTTTTCTAAATCAATAAAAATCAAACGTAGATCCTCCTGACTCTGAATTTCTCCACCAAACCTCTCAATAAATGAAAAGCTTCCATAGTAAACCTGCCCGACAAAAATCCAAAGTGATTATAAGAAATCTTTGTAATACATCTTAACCTATGTTCAATTACCCTCCCATAATTTTAAAGTACAACACATTAACTTAATTCTTCTATAATTTGCACACTCATGTGTCCTTTATTCTTAAAAATGGGGACCAAAATACTCTTCCTCCACTCCTCAGGCATTTTTTTAGTTTTTAAAATAATATTAAAGAGTTTAGTAAGCCAAGAAACTCCCAAATTTCCTAAATATTTCCACACTTCAATTGGAATATCATCAGGTCCTAAAAACTTTCCACCCTTGGTTTTTTTAAAGCATTCTCAATTTCTTTTTTACTAATGCGACAGTAAAATGAAATGTTTTATTATTATTAACGATATTAAGATCACCAAAGTCGATCGTATTATCAGAAATTTTATTAAAAAGTTTATCGAAATAATCATCCACCTATGTTGAATATCTTTTTCAAAGAAAAATATTTTTTTATTTTCATCTTTAATAGACTTTACGCGAGTTAAATCCTTACTTTTCTTTTCTCTTTCTTTGGCAAGTTTAAATATATATTTTTCACCCTTTTTAGTATCTAATCTATTATAAAGATCACTAAAAACAAAATTTTTAGCGTCACAGATTGTTCTTTTAGAATCGTTGCGGGTCGTTTGATATGTTTCTCAGTTCTCTAAGTTTTTACATATAAACCAACTTTTACAACATAAAGTCTTATATTTTATCTTTTCTTGCACATTATTATTTTACCACAAACTATTTTTATTTATAGAAATTTTTTCTTTTGATTCTCCAAGTACATTTTTTGCCACTTGTTTAATAGTGTTTGTTATTTTCCCACATAGCATTTGCTTCTTTATGAACATACTAAATTTTGAGATATTGAATTTTACACATAAAAATAATTTTATGTCTTTTGGATACCCCATCTAATTTTACGATGATGAATCATAGCGTTTTTTATTTTACAACTCTTCATCTTAAAATCAAGAATTAGTAATCGATATTGGGTACTTGAATACTCACTTGAAATGACCTTACAGTCTTTATAATCTTATCGATCTCTTCTTCTCATAAGAAAATAATCAAAATTTGTGTTTTATTAGACCCATTTTTATAATTAATAAGATGCTTATCTATTTTCTTAAATAAAGTATTAGTAATAATAAAATTATATGCTAAAACAAAACTTAATATTGCTCTACCTTCTTCATTAATCACTTCAAAATCGTAGCCATCATGAATATTTCTGAAATCTTCTACCACTCTATCGGCATGTCCATTTAAATGTCCTCCAAAAAAAATTCTTTATTCAAGAGGTATCATTTGTATTAAGTCTTTTAAGTCATTCTAGAATTTATCTTTAGAAATCTTTAGAACCTATATCTAAATCTACTTGAGGAGAATAAACACTTATAATATTAAAAATATTAGTATCAATAATAGTCTTAAGAGTTATAATTCTATCTCAAACTCAATTAATTTTTACAACTTTATCTTTCAAACTCCTATCTATAATTACACCTATATCATTTCTAATGCGACTCTTACCAAAATACCGAAGTTTAAAACTAAAGTAAGCAATTTCCTTAGCCGTTCCTCCAACTCAGTTTCTTGAATATATAATATATTTATCTTTCTATGAATCATAATATCAACTAATTTCATTAATTTATCATTAAGAGTACCTATATTCTAAGATTCTATCCTAATACTAGTTTCATGGACTAACTTCTTTACTCGCATCTATCTGTAATGTGAGAACCCTTTACTTATTTGACACTACACCTGGGCGCTGCTGTAGCGACATTTGCACATTTCTCACTATATTCAAGCCATACAGTGCGTCGCTTCCAGGGGACACTTTAGCCCTTACACAATAATCAAAAGAATTCATGTCATGATTTTTTCGATAAGTTTTACGTTGACTGTCGTTTACCTAACACAATCCTCCACATCCGGGCTTGGGACCAGTAATAGCAGTGTTTATCTCATAAAGAAGAGAAAAAAAATGGTCATCACAAGAGAAGAGTGAATCGAAACACAAAATAGTCATGCCAATACCTCTCCATGAAAAACAAGTGAAAGAAGAAAATCATGAAGGGAAGGCAAAAAAACAGTGAGTTGAGCACCAAAAGTGAAGAAAAAAGAGAGCATATATTTGCCTTGTGGTGCAAGAAGATGAACAATTTCACTATGATAAAGAAAATGTCGTACAAATTTATCTTTTCAAAAATTATCAAACAATTTTGAAGAATTTGTGACATAAAATATATGAAATAGGATTGATCCTCGTTGAGCTATAATTGATGAACTAAAAAGGAGTATGAACAATCAAAAATGATATGATTAAGTCATGCTTTATTCTTTGAATAAAAGAAAAATAGTCAGATCTAAGTTGATGAATCATCTTCTTTAACTTCTACAAGCACCACTCCGTGTATATTACACATGCATCAAGCTGCACATCCAAGATGCAAGTTACATCTACTTCTAAGAAATATAAAAAATCTGTCTACATCCTTTGCCAAACTTTACAATTATTGAATAAATAAAAATGAGCATGTTCAGTATTTTTGTGCCCTTGAGAAATTAATGAGCACCTATAGTTAATCATGCATTTAAATTCCCAAAAAACATCACAATAAGTTCAACCTGAAAAGTTTATAATGTGATTATACTGCACTAATTTGGTCACCAAAATCAAAGATCAGTATCTGGAAGCAATACAAGCATGATAATCTTGATTTGAAATAGTATTTCGAGATGCATTTCCAGAGTCAAAGCATCGGAGGAAATACAATAAATTATAATTATAATATTCTCACCACTTTCTCAATTTTCTAAAACAGAACATAAAACTTATTCATCCAATACTAATCTACATAGTTTTTAGTTTCAATGTTTTGATTTTGTTGATGGCATAGTTTTTTCTTAGGTTCAAAACTAGTTTGGGCCATGCTAAAAAATAGCACTAGTAAAATGCTTGAAATCTCACACGTAACATGCATATTGTATTG